AAATGTTGGGTTAACGCGCACTAGCTCAAAGTTTTGTTATATAAATGTTCCCAATGCCTACTCTGTAGTATATATATATATATATTAAATCTCTTTGGATACTTGCAAACAATTAACACAAAATTAAAAAAATGCCACAGATGCATCGCCTCTCTGAGAACACACTTTCTAACAAAAACAATCTTGGATACAGCAATGAATACTTTTATTTAAAGGCAGAAATAGGTAGTAGGTTGGTGTCACAACAGTTGGATTGTCAGATCCTAGAACACATAATATAACATACGTTATATCTACTATAACAAATCTATTTTTTTTTTGCAAGCCTACCCAAAATACGATTTCTCATTCTCTGTCGCTGACGGTCACACCGGTGACAACAAGTCTCAACAGGAGTCCCGAGACGGTGATGTAATGAAGGGATCGTACTCGTTTCACGAAGCGACGGCTCCATCAGAACTGTGGAATACTCCGCCGATGATCACAATGGCTTCAACGCGGTGGTGCACAACTCTGCCCCCACCGCTGCTCCAGCTGTCATCAAGACTACCGTCTATGCCGCTCCCACTCCCGCTCTCTATTACAAACATTAAACGGAACTGACTACTATATAAATGTAAATTTAAATTTTTTGTTGTTTATTGTAATACACGACTAATTTATCATATTTTTATTTTTGATTTGCCCTGCTTTGTTACACTCATTTTTATACTGAACATTTTTGACGGAAAAATTAGTTTATCAATTATTTAACTATAAAATGTATGTCAATAAGGTAAACTAATGCCAAAAACCCGCCTGACTCTTTGCAAAAATAAAATAACAATGGTCATGTATAAGTGTATGTTTCCTCTAAATAAATTATTAAACATTTTAATGAACTTTTTATTCTAATATATCGTTTGGGGGATCATCATCAAAAAATAAGTCAAAATTTTTATGTTTGCTATAAATTAGCCTAAGTAGCAGAGGATGGTATGTACATAATTAACATAAACGGAAATACCTTAGTAAAGCTAAGAGGATATCGCAATTAATGTGATCAACGTCATGTTTAATTATCATATTTATTTTACGAATTAACAGGCGATCAATCCATTAAAAATTAAATATTCAATTGCTAAGCCGGTTGTAAAAATGTATTGATATTTTTTTAATAAATGGTATGTCAATGAATTTTTAAATAAACGGTATGTAGTGCTATTATTTTGACTTTCTACTTAGACCTTGTTTCGGAAGGTCTTATTTCCCTTCCAAACTGTACTGGAATCTTTTAAGCTTCATCTTCTTGCATTCGGTAAAATCGACATGACTTTTCTTTACATTGTATATCGCAATCTATGTTCTTCCAATACCAAAACCGCGTGCTAATAATTTCGTTTTCCTATCCTTAAATGACCTGTATGTAATTCATCCAATATATATTTGTGGCATCATTACGCGTGTTCCTTTTTCAAATGCAGTCATCATGTAGCGTCAATTCATTATCTTCGTAGCCAAACTCTTTCATTGTTCGGTCTGTTTGTAGAGCTTCTAATATTGGTCTAAATTTAGAATCGTTGCTTGTTGCACTAATAATATCTTAATAATACTTAAATTTATTGTAGGTATTTGTAGCTGTTGAGGAAGGCTATTTCTATCGACTTTACTACCTGAAGTTTTCTCCACTGAACATCTCGATAAATAATCCGCATTGCTGTTATTGAACTACTTTCTGTATTTTATGTCATAATCAAAACCGGTGAAAAAAGTTAGCGTAATAAAACAGCCTCATAGAGCTCATGGTCGCTAATGTCTTGTGAGGATGGACGATACTGGTAAAAGGTTTCTGATCTCTCTATTGTGTAAATCGACGACCGTAACAGTAATGAAAAAACTTCTTTAACCACCAATATGTTGCAGTCGCTTCTTTGTCAATTTAACTGTAATGATTTTTTAAATTTACCGATGACTATACATTGAATAAACTATATTTACGGATTTTATCGCGTTTAATTTACTTATTTAATTCCCGCCGTTTCCCGGCGTCGCTACTGACTCGTAAGTTATTTTCTTTTAATCTATTCAGAACCTTTTCCAAGCGGTTCAACGCTTGCTCCTCGCATGAACTTTGAAATATTATTTCATCAAATGCCATAGGTTCCTCATAAAGTACTATTCATGAACTTATGCCACAAATTAGGCTCAATTTTCGCGCCAAACATTAGTCTATTGACCTTTTATGTTCCTTTGTGTGTACCTATTGTTTGTAACAGAGCACTTTCTTCATCCATTTCCATACGAAGATATGCATCAATAATATCGAGCGTACAAAATATTTCACCTCCTTTAATTTCAGCAAATGTGTCTTCAATTATTGGAAATGTATAGTTTTCATCTTTTATTACTTCGTTTAATGCTATTTTGTAATCAGCATATACTCTAATATTACCATTAGCTTTTACAATTAGTAATATATGGGGGTACCTAATTCTGAGTTACCTATTTTAGAAATTATGCCAACAAACAAACTCTGTCTATTTCTTTATCCATTTTACTTTTAAGAGCGTATGGTATCCTACGTGGTTTTATATATACAAATTGTGAATTTTCCCGTAAATTAAGATAGGCCTGAAAGTTAGGCATTTTACACAGATCGTTTCTTAATACATTTGTGGTATATTCAGCAAGTACATAGTTCATCTAATTTAGGACAACTTTGACAGTGTATCGTTTTTATATCTGCCAAATTTAATTTTAGTTCCCTCAACCAGCTTCTACCAAATATTGGATCCACTATTTTTTTTTAATAGGATCGAGTGACAAACGAGCACACAGTCCACCTGATGGAAAGCGGTTGCTGTGGCCCATAGACATCTACATTTATCTTCGTTTGCGAATCAAAACGCTGATGCGCTGTCACCCGTGAGGATTAAGATGGAATGCCTCTTTTCCAGTAAAAAGGGTCTCCGGTTCTCTACACTCACCATACGAAACACAGCAGTGTTAAACTGCTATTTGACGCTGGTATTCTGTGAGAGCGTAGTCCTTCCCCGGTCGAGCCGACCCATTCGTGCTACAACTATACTACTAATATAGCTGCAGCGTGGCTCTACCACGTAAGCTCTTTATTAATAGCGTACAATTTTGTACCAATTATTAAACACAAACTATATTACAACGTGCTCATATTTTATTATATTCATAATGACAGAATTACTAATTCCATTACTAAGGTAACGCAGTAGAACTATATTTAAAAGCTTATACATCAGTCAAGCTAGATATAGTGTATTAGTTTTAAGTAACTTAATACAATACAAACATCACACTGAGAATAAAATGCTTAAAAGTTTTAAGCAACCTTGAACCTACTTACTTGACCTTGAATTAATCCCGAGAGTAAAAGTATCAGTGGGATTAAGTTTATTAACTGAGAATTCAGAGAAGGAACTAAACTTTTTATCATTTTATAAAACTCAAACGTATTTGATTATCAAACAAATAAAATAATTATTTCATTATTTCTAGTCTTTTATTTAATTTATCATCTTTGTACAACCCTTTAGAGTTCACTCGATGACGCAGCCATACGCCATACCCAATAAGTAAGGTCAATCAATAACACCTCACATAGGGTGTCGTTAAAGGTGACAAAAGAAAGCAAACTAGGAGATGGGCAGTGTCTTGCTAGTCATCGTCATCACCATCATTACAGCCCTTCACAAGTTCACTTCTGAACAAAGGCCTCTCCTAAGAAATACCATAAAGCACGGACCTCAGCCACCTATGTACATCCATCGACTTCCTACATATCTTACCGGGTCGGTCATCACTCTAGTGGGAAGCCACCCTACACTTCGTCTTCCTAATAATAATAAAAATGCGGTTTTTGACCCGCGTGTCAAGCGGGGCCACTATAGTAAATATCTCCTATTTTTTGATAGGCTTTAGACTTTTGATAGTCTGTAATGGTATCGGCTAGGCGTACACAGAACCAGATGTCTAGTAATCTTAGAGACTTTTATTTTGTTATCCTTGAAAACCATTTGGGGCCTCCGAAAGGTGGGGAAGTGCATGTTATAAAAATTCCTAGAAGTCATTATGTGGAGAGTGAATAGCACTTCGGCCGACATTTTAAAAAATCAACCCCGGGCGAGGTCGCTAAGCTGGTTTTGAGCATACGCCCAATCAATGAAGGTGACCGACAAGTATAAAATCGATGTAATATTGCCGTAATGTATCATTCCTCTGAGAATCAATCTAGGAAACATGTTCTCAAAAGTAAGTTACTTTTATTTAAAAATAAAAGAAATTTAAACGAGAGTGTTGCTCTAGATGGAAGTATTTTTAAATATTATATTTTGTATATTATTACTGTAACTTAATATTATATGTTAAAATATGTAATCAAATTCTTTAAAACATATGAGATTAGATCGTACACATAAAGAATGAAAATGTTTATTTAAATGCTTTTGCACTAATAGTAAACTTGTATTGAGTAAGCCTAAGGAAAGAAAATGAGTAATGAGTGTGTAACGGAACGGAGCGATTGGCGGTTGTTAGGCCTGAGTAGCAAGACTTCGGCGGTGCGTTTCCCACACATGGTTGTAGGTAGTAGATCTCTCTTTCTGCCTAGGAGGCCGTCTGGCCATCGCACAAGATACTGTAATAGAAGTGCATGTGTTGTTACACAAGAAACACCGAAGGTTCTTCTCGCTGCACTCTCCTGTTAAGTCTCCTGTTCTACACTAAAGTATACCTGTAACATGCTTTCCGTAATATCTTTGCTTCATACTATGGTATATACTTGCGAATATATTATATACTTGTGAACGTAATTAGTCCTGAAATTCCTTATTGTACTTTGTACACGTTGTTGTAACGATATTTAAACTTAGTGTGTAACGGTGTCAGTGGACATATTGAATAATTGTATGCAATACCAATATAAAATTTGTCCTATTACCTCGTAACTTTTGTTGTCAATTATACTAATAGCAATTTTATCTTTACAGATTGTAACCCTGTGCGCTGTAGTGGCGATGTCCCAAGCTGGACTTCTGCCTGCGGCTGTGCACTACTCGCCCGCTGAGGCTGTCTCTTCACAAAGCATCGTGCGCCATGACCAACCTCATGCAGTTGCTACAAAGTTTGTCGCTGCCGCCCCAGTGGCCAAGTTTGCTTTAGCTGCACCTGTAGCCTACCAGGCCGCACCTGCTGCCGTATCTTACCACGCCGCTCCCGCTCGCGTAGCATACAACGCCGCACCCGCAGCAGTTACTTACCACACTTCACCAGTGCGTGCGACCTACCAATCCTCTCCAATTCATTATGCTGCACCTGTCACTAAAGTTCTGGCCCATCGTGAAGAAGAAATTGTAAGTGTTGTTTATTTTCTTTTGTTTATAATTTTTTATACTTAATTTTTAATTTTTTTGCCTGCCTCGTTGTTCTCGTGGTCGTAACGCGGTTGCTGGTCATGAAACCCACAAGGGTTCAAATTCTAGGTCAGGCGAAAACCAGTTTTTTTCTGTCAACAAATTCTTAGTAGCAGCCCGAGGTCAGCAATATGGCGGTGTTTCACCCATCGAAACGAGCCTAGGAAAGCACTTAAAGCCGTTGGTCCTGCGCCTAATCTCTCTCCGGTCGTCTCGGATTGCCTAAATTGTTGACCTCGCTCCCCGAAATTGTTAACTGAATTAGGCACTAAAGCGGGGGAAATTTAGGAAAACAACCTATATTCATCCTTAAATATATCTCGGTAGGCACTGGTCAGGGCAGCCCCGAGAGTGTCATTTTGTTAATTCTTTCATAAGATAAAAATAAAAAAATATTAGTAAAATATTTACTCAACATACCACAAAAAATAATTAGACTTTTTAAGCCTTAAGTTTTACACAGTTTCATTGCGGAATCCGTGCAAGTTACACGCTAACGTAGAAATTTAGTGTCATCTTTATGCCTTTCTTAATCGATCCAATTATTATGATGCGCGATTCTGTCTTCAGCAACTCTTGTTCAAGCTTAAAATAAAAAAAAATTGTTAAGTAAAACTTAAGTAGATTTACAGAGGTAACAAAGTTAAAAGTACTATGACATCACCTTAATATATTTAGTATCGTCAAATAAATCAATTACTTTTTTTTTATAGGATAAAGGTGACAAACGAGCACACAGTCCACCTGATGGTAAGTGGTTGCTGCGGCCCATAGACATCTACATCTATCCTCGTTTGCGAATCAAAATGCAGATGCGTTGCCACCCGTGAGGACTAAGATGGAATGCCTCATTTCCAGTAAAAAGGGCCTCCGGCCACCTGCACTCACCGAGCGAAACGCAGAGGTAAACCTCTACTTCACGCTGGTATTCTGTGAGGTCGTGGTACCACCCCGGTTCGAGCCGGCCCATGCGTGCGACAGCAAAAGCTGCCGCGTGGCTCTACCACTGTTAAGACTTTTTTTGTTTTCAGGCCTACCCAAAATACGATTTCTCATACTCTGTCGCTGACGGTCATACCGGTGACAACAAGTCCCAACAAGAGTCCCGAGACGGTGATGTAGTGAAAGGATCGTACTCGTTTCACGAGGCCGACGGCTCCATCAGAACTGTGGAATACTCCGCCGATGATCACAATGGCTTCAACGCGGTGGTACACAACTCTGCCCCCACCGCTGCTCCAGCTGTCATCAAGACTCCCGTCTATGCCGCTCCCGCTCCCGCTCTCTATTACAAACATTAATCGACACTGACGACTGACATGATGCATAATTTAATAAATTAGTTATTTATTTCAATACACAATTAATTATTAACTATTTTTGAATTTTTACTACCTTGTTAAAATAGGCCGAAAGTGATTCTCAGATTGCGAGCTAAAATCATGCAAATTTTTACGTAGGTAATTATAATAATTATAATGTTAATAATAATGTGTTTATGTAAAATGAAGCGGATGACAAACCAAGTTATGAGTTTAGCGGAAATTGTCAGATAACGAAAAGAATAAAAGATGCAAGAATAGGGCGACAATATCTTTTTGAAACTTAACTTTATTAAACTTTACAATGATAATAAACATGCAACTATACAACATTTTCGTAAGCTAGAACACCCTCAACAGAACTATCTATTTGTTGTTATTGATATAGATTTGCTTTGATATTGCAAAATATATCCAAAATCTATAAATTTAAACTTACATTCACATCTAAAACCAATGATATCGAAACGATTAATTCTGGATCAAAATAATGACGATAGCTTCCTAACTACCTTCCTAGCTAGAGTCGGCGTTAGATAAGATCAAAATGTATCCACTCTGAATTTTCGTTTGTAGGTTTTAACACAAGAGGAATTTAAACCAAATAGGTAACTATAATATTTAAAGCTTTAGATTCAAATACCTAGGCTGCACTAAAAGTATCGGGAATGGGATATTTCCACTGTTCCTGTCATATTAAAATAAAATGGTTTTATAAATCGAATACCATTTAATTATTTAAAAAAAGATTATCGGTCTTGTCACAAGGTTTTGTCAAACTTGTTTAGTTGTTGAGAAAATGGAATTGACTCGAGAAAATTCAAGAGCGATGATTTATTATGACTTTCGAAGTGGTTTAACACAAAAACAGTGTGTTGACCGGATGATTTCTGTATTTGGTGATGAAGCCCCATCCAAAACCACAATTTATCGCTGGTTTGCTGAATTTCAACGTAGACGTGTCAAGCTCAGTGATGATCCCCGTCAAGGTCGTTCAAAAACTGCAGTCACCCAAGAAAACGTTGATGCTGTGCGTAAGAGAAATTCAGGCAACTTTAGACATTGGCATGAGTCAAATATAAATAATCTTGCATGAACAATTAGGTGTAAAAAAGTTGTTTTCCCGATGGATACCGCATTCGCTCTGTGAAGAGCAAAAAGCGGCTCGCGTTACTTGATGCGTCAGAACTCTCGAAAGATTCCACACAGGATCCTCAAATGCTGTACACAACATTGTATCAGGTAAAGAATCTAGGATATACGCGTACGAACCAGAAACAAAAAACCAGTCACGAGTTTGGGTGTTCGAAAATGAGTTAAAGCCAACAAAAATTGTTCGTTCACGGAGTGTTGCAAAAAAAATGGTGGCCACGTTTGTCTCCAAAACCGACCATGTTACGACTATTCCTCATGAGGGACAAAGAACGGTTAATGCAGAATGTTATGCTAGCATTTGTTTGCCACAGGTCGTTTCTGAACTCCGTAAAGAGAACTGCAACCGCCACATCATCCTCCATCACGACAATGCGAGTTCTCACACCGCACACAGAACAAAAGAGTTTTTAGAGCAAGAAAACATAGAATTATTAGACCATCCGCCGTACAGCCTCGACCTAAGCCCTAATGATTTCTATACTTTCCCTGAAATAGAGAATAAATTGCATGGACAGAGATTTTCATCACCTGAAGAAGGTGTGGACAAGACGGCCATTTTGGAGACCCCAACTTCCGAATGGAATGGTTGCTTCAATGATTGGTTCCATCGTATGGAAAAATGTGTCAAATTTCGCGCAGAATACTTCGAAAAGCAATAAATACATTTTAAATGGTAATGTATGTTGTGTCACTTCCTTGATTTCCGAAATTTTCATAATAGTAAATCTGACAAATAATAGTTTAATCGATTCCTGCTGACACTACTAAAATTACAAAACAATGTGAGGAAACTTACATGTCTGTGAAATTGAAAATATTTCGATGATATGCCAAGTCCGATAACACATCAAGGATGAGCATGAGGGGATTTTCCCCATTCCAAATCCCGCTATAACAAGGAGGCTAATGCTGAATAATAATATAATGGGGCTGGTACTTTACTTTTAAACAAGAGAATATGTATTAATAATTGATACATAAAAATAATTTCTGCAAAAGACTTCTAAAATTTTACATTTCTGAAAACTATTCCTCACATTAAATGAAACTAATTTTCGACGTTTCGGGTACACTCATGGTCACAACGGTTAGAACTGAGGTTTATGACGTCCCGATGTCATAGTTAGCCCGGCTACCTTCAGTTTATCAATATAATTTTTTGCTTCGATCTACGCAGAATCAGCTAACAGTACCTTGAAGTCTTGCAATGGTATCCTTAAGTTTGGATTAAATTATAGGATTGGGACGTCAAACACCTCAGTTTCCCCAGTGGCCATGGGTGCTGTACAGCAGCAGAAACGTCGGAAATTAAAAAGTTTAAATTAAACGCTCTGAACTCCATAAAATTTATTTCATTCAATGTGTTGTGTTCGCGTAAATATAAGAAATCATTAACTTTTCTACAATTTATTTTTTGTATTCGTGATTTTGTCCAGATTTATCCTAGTTATATTTTGGGAATATGTTTGAAATAGCTTAAAAAATGGTAAAGTGAAGTTTAATTAAAGAAATTAAGTAATCACACAATTTTCCTTCGCATTTCATTACCTACTCAAAATAAAACTCTGAAGTCAAAAATTCGAACTTTGGACCCACACATAATTGCATTTTATAAATTTGTCGAATTCTTTCTCTAAAGCTCTTGCGAAGTATCTCTGAAAAACATCTGTGACAAACAGATAAACCAAGATACTCCTAAACGTTATGTACACTCATAAAAATCACTTTTACAAAAGGATAAATTATTTTATTGTCTCAAATATAAACAATATGTGCAATGTTGTTGCCATTTTGTCTATTTCTACTCTACTTGGAAACAAGATTATTGGAAAAATATACTTCAATATAGAATCTTGTGTGCTATAAAATCTTGTTGCATTGTTGGTTTGTTAATAAACGAATGACATTAAAGCATAATATGGATATAACGAGATGATTTAAAAGGAAAATAATTAACATACTAACTTACTACTAAACTACTTCTAATTTTCTACTTAGTAGTTACTATAACCATTATTTATCTAAATGTTAAGCGTAACATTTTCTAAAATGTTTGCATAATATCGGACTGAGACTATCGGTTAACTTTTATAACTCTCGCATCAGAATTGCTTATGATAAATTCAATCAAATTATTACCACTTATCATCTCGTGAGTGTCGTTAGAGGTGACTTTAAAAAACGCAGTCCAACAGTGCATTGAAGAAATCAATTAAGGGTTATCCTGATAAGTAAAATATATCTGCAGCAACATACCGGTTCTTATATTAAATATCCTTTAATTCATCGCAAAATATCTCGAGTTCTTAAAGTAAATACAAAGAAACAACTTTATACAATTTTTAAAATAAACATTTAGAAATGAATCGGACAGATAATTCACGCTATTCTCATATACTTTTCAAAGAAAGACCAAAAAAGTGTTTTAGCAATATTTATATAATTATCTTACATAAAATTGTTAAATCATATTGCATAGCATAACATAATAGTATAAAATGATGGATAATGAAAACTTTAATAACAGTTTGCTCGTATATTTTATTGAATGCTGTTCATCCCAAACGCTATGACATTATATACAATGGTAATTAAGAACAATTGGTGATTAACTGGCGACTACTATAACCTCATACATATTGTTTCCATGTTTATAAGAAGATAATTTTCATTCCTTATATACTGAACGATTAACAAAAATATTTTTTTGCAAATGCTGTTTTTAACTTTCTTTATAAGTGTAACTGCAGTTGTTATCATTGATTCAAGCGCAGGTTTTTCCGGCAAATACTACTTTACAGAAAATCGAGATGGATGGCAATACTTAAAATTATGCCAAATCAGAATCCAGAACCATTAGTATTCTTGTATTTGTGTTTAATATTCCAAAGAATTCTGAAGAAATATAATCTCATAATTATGTCTTTTTAATTCTTTAAGTCTTTTTAGAGAAAAGCTATTCAAAAAATGTGAAAAAAAATTGTACTTAATCACTAGTGGACGGTTGAGTGAACGCATAAGTGAAACTGTCGAACTTGTATGCTGCTTTTTTTTCTTTTATTTTACTAAACAAATCGACACAACCATACAGTAAAACATATTCCCACAAAACTGTTTACACAGTTTGTCTGTGGAATCCAGAGTCTCACAATAATACTTAAAGGATAGCTATAGTACAAACATTTTTTTTTCTTAATTACATAATGATAGAAAGTGTCTATAAACCATCTTTTTAAATACATTTTTCTTAGTCTCGAGTCGAATATCTTTGGGCAGACTGTTCAGAATATACGGTATTTGTTTCTTTAATGTTCTATCTCCAAAGTAGTTTTTTATTCTAGGTACTTCGAACTTACCCTCGGAAATCGACCGGGTATTATTATTACTAATTAAGAAATGAGTATTTACTAATGAGTATTTACACTCAATATTAAATTATCTATCAATTTCCCCTCGTCCCGCGAAAAGTGTATAAGAGAACATAATTTATGTGATGAAATAAATTATACTTACTTTTCATATTGTTTGGTTCATTATTATTTTTGGTCTTTCGGATAGTTTAATTTTGAATATTATACTTTGTATCTGATAAAACAACTGGTGACCATAACTAAAGTGCACCAACACTAAAACAAGAAATGGACACAGAGTAAGCAGAGTGCTCTTTAAGAAAAGTGCAATATAATTCTGATCATAATAATGGGTAAATATTATAATATGTACCTATATGTTCGTGGCAGAGATTTAAAGTAACATAATTTTTATTAAAACTGAATCCTAAATTATAATCAAGAATGGTTTTTAAATTTGAAATCGCAGTATCA